ATAGTTTAAAACAGTGGATAAATAGGTCTACATATAAACAACATCACTGTCTTCGCTCGCTTGGAAACCGGGATCGCGGGTTCGAATCCCACTCAGTGCATGGATGTTTAGTTTGGGTGTGTGCGTTTTTCTGTGTTTGTGTACAGGTGGAGGCCTTGCGACGAGCTGATCACCCGCCCAAGGAGTCCTACCGAATGTGTAAGATCTAGTAAAACCGAAGTGAACGGAGTTCATGGAGGTAGGCCTAGGCCCACTGGGGCTGTAGTGCCAAGGAAAAAAATAAACATCAGTGGATTACATTAAAATAGCTCAGTAATTAAACATTTGTCTGTCCTCCAGAAGACCTTGAACTATAAAAAAAAGTTTACCATTTAGTAATACATTAGAAATGAAATAATTTAGAATTTTAAAACAAAATAGCTTCGAGAAAAAATTATCACTAACTTGTTGCTTAAAATGTCAGCACTTTTCCAATATCCTGAGAACGCGTCTCCTACGGCAGAAACAATTATATAATACACCGTTATTTTTTAATTTTACGTAAATAACACTCGTAATGTAATTATTTGTTAAAGAAGCTCACTAGTAACAGAGGAACAGTAGTTGATCCAGTGGCGTATGCGTTCTGATAGTTCACATAATAGAATCGTCTCACACACACAGCTCTGCCAGAAAAACAGCTACACACGGAACAAGTCCGACAGTCAAAAGCATAAAATTCCCCGCTACATCTGACAGTTTCAGACTTTTCTGAGCAATTTCCACGTCGCTGGCATCGACTTCCGGGTCAGTTCCTAATTTCGTTTCGTATTTGGTGTCTTCATCCCATTTGTCCACCAGACCGGCCTGTGTTATTCTGCCGAACAAAACATGAAGCCTCTCTAGATAGGGCGATCCCTTAGGAACCATGTATGACATGAAATACGCCCTTGGTGCTTCATTAAGTATGTGGAGAATGCCTTCACCGTAACGCTTCATGAGCCACGTGGCCTTTCTTCTGCTGCAGACCAGCGACGTATTTTTGTATTTCTTCATTTGGCTAATGACAGACAGGACATCGGATTCATAAGCCAGCTTAACTCTTAGATGTTCCATAGAATCAGATTCGTTGAAGGTGTCCATGAGGTTGGGATTCATGGTAAAAACGGAGAACCCTGCCTCATCAAGTTGCTGCAGTGTGTCAATGTCCCTGCCAAAATGAGGATTTGTTACTATGTCAAGCAATAATCCTTGAAAGTTACACATTATAAACCAACTGAATATTAAACATGACGAAAGAAGCAATCTCTGAGGAGAAGATTTAGTTTTGGTAAGAGAACTCAGTGGCATATTTATGAAGATTGCCAACATATCAGGAATATTTGTGAAGAGAAACGCCTCATGTCTTTTATTAGAATCCTTCTTTTCTTCGAATCGCCTTAACAGATACCACACTATAACACCTGACGAGAAAGATACCAGCATATACTGCCAATGAATATATTTCAAGGATTTATAAACCACTAACCAGACATGAATTTGAACTGATTTAGGTACAAGAACTACGATTTCCTGATGACGTATGGCGGGCATGGTGAACTCTATTTCCTCAGTCCCATAGTACTTTAAATAGATTTCATTCACAGCAATATCGGTACGTCTGTTGATCAAGTCTGCCATTGCGCCAGTGAAATTGCCGTTTCTCTTTTTGTAACCGATTCTTTCATTGTTTTCTGGTGGTACAATTACAGGTGTAAAATTCATATATTTAGCGATGATGTTCAGAACTTGTCCATCCCTCCCTTTACCGATCCACATGTCAGTCAAGTTGTCATACTCCACAACTGCTGTAGGTCTATCAGTAAACATACTGATCTGAAGTGTATGGCCGTGCAGATCACTGATTCTGTCTGCGTAGTTCTTAGGTAACTCTTGTAGCGTCTCGGGGTCTACTACCCACATCAGTGTTTTTCTGTCCAAACTTTCCACACGGAATGGGTCATACGCGAATATATATTCTGCATTTTCCTTGGCCGAAGAATTTATCAAAATGACGTTCAAAATTCCGCGCTCATTCCAAAGAAAATCAAATATGTTATGATTGCTTGTAATGTCATTATTACTGAACATTATCAGGATTAAGAAGTTCTCCTGAGGTCTCCAAGTGTTCTGCGGGTACTTGTTCTTGGACATCTCTAAATACAGAGAGAGGGAGGAGCAATTTGGAGCTATGAGTAAGTGGGAATGTTCACTGGTAGGGGTATACTCTTTTTGGAGGTTGGGGTCTCCCATTGTCAAAATAATGGGAATTCTCAACAACTCATTAACTCTAGACATCACATGCATCGCGTAGGAGTTAAACGTGTTAGACGTGGACTCCAGAATTACTACGGACAAAACACGAGAATTACTGAAGTGGTAGGAACACGCGACCCACAGGTGAGTTCCCTGAAGCGCTGCGTCAGCTCTTCCCCACTCCTCAAATTTCTGTCGTTCCAGCCTTCCGATTAGTCCCACTGATTTAGAAGAGGCTGCAGAGTGAAGCTGAAGTGTTAGCATCGCAAATGTTGGCAGCAGCATCTTTCTTATCGGGAAAAAAAAAATGTTAGTATGTTATGCAAACACTGGCTAATTAAACCTCGCTGAACTTGTATATTTACTCTCTTAGTGTTGCAAGCAAGTATCAGCACTGCAATACAGATGCTTGTACGCCATTTGACTAGTAAGTTTGTATCCAGATGGGTTTCCATTTCGAATTTACGCTATCCTCTTCCAAAGCTGCCATTTTATCTTGTAAGCTGTTCAGCACTTTGACTTATAACTCGATAAATTAAATGCTCGCTTGCATGCTCTAAAGGACACAACAATATTATTGGGCAAAAATGACATCCATATTACATAATATTTAGCTGGACGAAGAAAATGTTACACGTGAAGTGACCGATATTGTCATAATTGCAAGCATATCTTCGAGTCCATACGCCGCACTTGCTCTATGAAGTGATTTTAATGGATTCAGTCAACAATTCATAGCATGCGAAATACTCGTATATTAAATTATGTCTCAGCTGTTCATGATATTGTTATACGTTTCGTCTTGAGGTGAACTTGGCACGAAAATAACTATCCCGTTGTCTTAACAGTCTGCATTTACAGTTCAACCTACTGCCACTAAATATACAAAATGGACTCTTATTCATGCAGTTAATAACAGAAATATATAATACAGGAAGTTTAATGTGTCTCCAGAGACTGTCCTACGAAGTCATTTCATATATCTTCACGACATTAAAATTAACTGTCAGCCGGAAATTACTAACGAGGGAATTAAATTCCATATGGTCTGTGAGAGAAATATTATTCTTATTGGTTACCTGCTAATCGAGGAAAAAATGTCGGAAGTGTATAAAAATGACATGTTTATTACAAGGTAACTTAAATAGCTCGAAATATTTCTCTCTGTTACAGACAAAGAAAGCTACAATATTAATGGCATCAAGCTTCCAGTAACATAAAATTATCACATCAACTCCTGAGATATTATAACTGAAAAACATTTCATTACCATACCGAAACTAGTTGATGTGGCAAGCAACCAAAAATATAACAGTAACAGACATGCCCTTTTGATTTTAAAATGGTAGACACAGACGTATCTGAAATAAAGCTGTAAGTAGATCTTATATTTTAGCATCCCGTCGTATTGAGGCATCATCTTTATTATCAAAGTACCCGTCAATAATGTAACAATTTAAAATACATTAGGAATATATTTCACACTAAAAATGTATTTCAATATATTTTGATGTTGTTAAAATCATTACATGTCAATAGGACATCAAAAGCATATTTTATACATTAAAAGTGATTATCCAATTTTCTAAAATGTTTTTAGTCATATATTTCTTCTAGTTATACGGCATGTTTCGGCCATATGGGCCATCATAAGGTAATTTCTTTTCTTCTGGGGAGACCACTATAATGTATACTTATTCACTGTGCTTCCATGCACGTCAATATTTTGTTTCTATCTCATGATCAGAATGCCGTCCTTGCATCAGATATCTGGACTGTCAGTCGGTCAGTCAGTTAAATTTCTGCTGGTCCTCGCCAACGCAGTCATTTTTTTTTTTATTTCGTGTCCCACTGGACTCATGGCCATATGTTACTCTCTGACGAATCTGGGAGCCATCAACCTCCATACCTGGACGCTCAGGTCTATATACATTTATGTCCCCCCCAAGTCAAGTCAAAGTCAAAGTCACGTTGCGACTGACGGTCGGTCAGTCAGTCTGTCTGTCTGTCTGTCTTGGTGTTGAGCCCCGGCTGGGGCTCATGACCAGATGTTTCTTTTTAGATGAAAGTTACTGTCCTGTCCATGTGGGGCGCCCTCTCTGACGAGAGGTCGGGTCTATCATTTGTCAGTCATAGTCAGTAACTCCATTGTCAGTATTTACATCTATTTACACTTTAATTTTGGCCTTAATTTCTACTTCTATATACTATATACGTATACAAGGCCTCTGTCAGTCCAGGCTCAGTACAGCAGATTATGTCCTATTTCTAGTAGTATTCGCTACCACGGCAGTCTAATTCACTTGAACGGTCGTATGCCTTACCGCCGCCAAGGACAGGGTGGCCCAGTTATACCCCCAGGTACCGCGTTCTCTTTTCGTCGCTTTGTACGACTCACAGTGCTACGGTGAGTCGTAAAAGTTTAATGTTGCGTATATTATACTACATACACTTGGTATTAAACCTGTCTCTCTTGTTTCTTCATGGTGTGCTCTATTTCGCTTGATACTTTAATATCAATCCATTCAGATAACAATGTTACCGTCAAAGTAGAACTAAATGTTCTCGTAAAAATATATTTCAAAATGGTCACAAAGTCGGTTTGGGGTACAACGTACCCACAATCCGACAACTACGTAGCTCCATGACGACGGGGTTCTCGTATCTGTGTTGGCAACAATGAGGGGCTCTCGATCCACTCGATATGTTCTAGCCGATAAAGGAATGTAAATTCGTAGCTGTGTTCAGTGTGCATTCTTGTGTGGACGAAGGTTATGGTCGTTATGGTATTGTGCTTACACCGCTTTGATATTATAACTTCGTATTTGCGTGGTATCCGAAATTGAAGACGCTGTTAAAGCTGAACCAAGTATGCAGGTAATTCGCATGTACATATCTCAGAATGTCATATTAAATGGTGAACTGAACCTCCTATTTTGTTATACTGTTGGATTAGTTGAATAGGTACATAGATGTGCTTCTCTTAGGAAAATATGTTGGGGCCATAAGTCAGCATTTCGCTGTAGGAGCGAGACGGAATATAGGAATTTCGCGCATGTGTGAGAATCATGAGTATTTCTTCCTGGAGGCCGAAATTACTGAACACACATTTTGACGTGGTGCGCTAGTGAGCAAAGCACTGTAGAGCATGTATGTATGTAGATTTTTAGAAGGAAAATGCTACCCCTTACAGAAGATGATGGAAGGTCTTTGTTCAGCATTTTTAAATAAAGTCACTATATTAAGCGTGATTTTGCCATAGATGTTGGAAGTTAAAGACCACATAGCAACAAATTCTCTTGACACTAGACAAAGGTGATCTTCCATGATTTCAAGAATGGCATTCCGGTTTTCAGTCTGTCTTTCAAAGCGCATGTTTTATTTCTACAAACTATTTTAGGTCACACATATTCAGAATTTTAGGAAAGTGACAGCTGTGTTTTTTGGAGACACTCTGTAATTAATCAACCAAAGGAGAAAACTGTTCAGGTTCTTGAAGCACTGTAATGCACCAGCACATATGGAATGAAGATTTGTATTCTTATTATTCTCCATTCATAAAATATACATGAATCATATTCAGTATAACTTCTGTACTAGTGCATTTTAATACAAGCCTATCATATAGTTTCTCCCCATTAATGTGTCCTTTACATCTGCAGTAAATTCCTGTCACAGTATTCAGAAGTGAAGTGTATGAGGAAAGTGTGCGCTCTGTTTTCATTCATATAGAATCCCATGAAGTCCTATCATATGGAATCCTGCATTTTTTTAATGGTTAAATGATAGAGACCTGTAATAAGTGCATTTGTTATTGCATTACACAATTCATTTTGATGTGAAATGTGTCTGCATGTGGTTTTTACATCAGTTAATGCATTGTCTTTATTATGCACAACTTCCTTCACTCCAGGCACTATTTTGCTTGCAGCAAAGGCAGAAATTATATAAAAAAGGAATGAGTGGTCAGCAATTTGCTGTAAGCTGTTCTGGAATAATGCTAAAATGTTTTGTAACTGATGAAATTTTGTTTCTGTGGGTTTATTGATGATGTTGCCAGTAAGGAGAATGTGTAGCATGGGATGGTACAATGATTGAAAGACTGGAAAGGACTTGGAATAAAATGGCCATGGCATATTTGAGGTACTATCCCAGCATTTGCCTGGATGGAATGAGAAAAACCACAGAAAGTCTCAGTCAGGTTAGCTGGTATCCTGGCTAAGATCTGAACCAGGCATCTCCCAAATAGAAGACTAGAGCATTGCCTTTAGGCCAGCCTATTCAGTACTAGTAATTGTGTTTTACATAATTGTTTTCTGATGTAGGTGTTTATGTGCAGGCAATAAGCATGTCTTATATTAAGTTTGAAAGCTCAAGAGTGAAAGAAGCCGAAAGGAGAGAGAAGAGACGAGCAAGGGAAGCCATTTTGAAAAAGGTAATTTGAAGTTCTCATAATTGTGACTGAAGAGTGTGATTTTCTGAGTTATTATGACTTGTAGTTCAGTAGAAGTCCACCACTGCTTTGGAGGAAGTTCAGTCTTCAAGGTTGAACATTATGCTAAGCAAACAGCAGGCAGTGAGCAAAGCCTGCTTCTCTGCTTGCTGCCTGTTCATTACTGGTTTCTTGTTTGGCATTCTGTCCATTACTAAAGATGGAGCCAATGTAATCCACTAAAATGTGTGTGGGCTTTGGTAGAAGCCCAAAGTGTTATAACCCAGAGGTCATACTCTTTGTCAAAACAGTTCATCACCATAGTTACTTACGGAGAGAATTGTTGATTGCAGTGTGAATTTGACTGACAGCAGATCCTTAACGCCCGTGAGACATGAGGTCTCATAGCAGTGGATGTGATGCATACTGTTTTTCGGGCTGTAATACCACATAGTGTGGTATACTTTTACCAGGCTGAACAGTATCACATCCCAGGGGACAGTATTTTTCAATACTTCCTCTTAGTTAATTCACACTGTGCATGGACAGGAAAGGTAAAATAAGATAAAAGTTGTTCTTATGCTTAATTAAGACTACATCAAGAAAATGTATGGGAAGCGGAGGTATGTTTCCATGGATTCATGTCAGCACTAAATGTAGGTAATGGTCAGGTTCTGTACTGGTTGCATTAGCTCATGTGAAGTGTTGATAGTATTCAGTGGCTAGGAAGGTGGGTGGGCTGCAGAGCTGGTCTGGTTGTAGAGCCAAAGAGAAAAATCTCTGCCCTTCCTGTAACCTGTCTGTAACAGCAGCGCCATAGCTCAAGTGGTTAGTCGCTGGCTTCCCACTGCGGCGGCCCGGGTTCAATCCCGGGTCTGGTCAAGTGGGATTTCTGGTGGACAAAGTGGCACTGGGGCAGGTTTCCTCCAGGTATTTCAGTTCCCCTGCCAATCTTCATTCCACCAAATTCTCCATTATCATAATGACCCGGGGCAGGCTACAATAGGCCAATCTGTGGTTGCCATGCCGAGTGGACCCAGTTGGACTCAACCCCCCACTAAGTGAATTTTTTTTAAATTAACCTGTCTATATGCTGACTGTGCTGGTGGTGGTCTGAATTATGACTTATTGTTTCCAAAAGATAAATTTGTGCTGAATAATATTGCAAGATGTAAAGTGTAAATTATACACAGTAACCTGATGTTTCTAGGCTGAAGCAGATTACATCCGGAAAAAAGAAAAAGATGAGAGAGCCCGACTCAGGGGTGATGATAAGTGGATACTTCCATCTCTGGAAGCAAGAATAAAGGCAGAAACAAACAAAGAAAAGAAAAAGAAACACAAGAAGAAAAAGAAAAAGTCTAAAAGGAAGAAATCTTCTAGCTCAGTAAGTAGGTCACTTTGTATAGGATTTGAGATTCTCACAGTGGTGGTCATGAAGAGATTTCTTCCGAGATATAATGCTGTGTAGTCCTTCGAAAGTTGGCCGTCACCAACATATTCAGGGTTGAAAAGTAAGCCAAGCCAGCGGAGCTCTGCTTCATACTGGTGTCTTACTTGGCTTACTTTTCAGCCTTGAAGGTGGAGGTGGCATGTTCCTTCAAAATATTGGTTGACTTTCAATGGAGTACACCAGCATTATATCTAGAGAAGGTAAGACTTCTTAGGTAATTCAGTGTTCAGAACTTTGAAGAAATGAAGACTGTTGTTGTCAGGAGTATTGAACACTGTTCTGAGCATGTACTTAATGAATCAGTCATTGCTTCATGAACTAATTGACTGCTTGGAGCTTAGGTCTTCATGAGAAGCTGTAAGTTACTCATCTCCCACCTTTTATGAAATGAAGAGGCTCATTTTTGTGTTTAACAGTGCCATCACTGGGGCCTGTTGAGAGTCAGTTCCATCCAGCCCACAACCTGAAACTTGTTTCAGTACTATCCCATCATTTAGCGGCCTCCGTAGTCTAGGGGTAACGTTCCCACCTCATGACTCAAGATATGCGGGTTCAAACCCAGCAGAGGTCGTGGAATTTTTAAGGGCGGAAAAATTCAGGGAACAAATCCTCTGGGAGGGACTTTAAGCCGTGGGTCCCGTGTTGTAGATTTACGGCATGTAAAACATCTTCATGTCTCTAGGAGACCTCTGAGAAAAATTAGGCAACAAGTTTCCTGCCCAAGTAGTTTTCAATGCCTCTGGTAGATGGGGGAAATATCAGGTACCGAGGGCCGACCTCGTTGGCTGAATGTGGCTGGTAGCACGCACCAGTACCCGTAGGGTATGGTGACAGTAGAAATTAAAGGGGGACGCACAGTGGACCAATAATTGGTCTAAGTGCATGGGGAAACCCACCCCCTCTAATAATAATAATAATAATAATAATAATAATAATAATCCCATCATTTGCACTTATGACTCCCAAGTAGTCTCTTGCCTTTAGGTTTTCTAACTAAAGCTGTGCACAGGTTTCATTTGTTTAGCATTATCATTGCCTGAAAAGCTGTGTATTTAAGATTGTGTGGGTCAGCTAAGGTCAATACCGAGAAATTAAAATTTTTGAACTGTATGTTTTAGGTAGTGAATTATTTGAGCATCGGACTGGCTTTTAGGTCCTCGAGAAGGACTCTGTTCCATGAAGTTCATTAGCATGTGTAATTAACATAACATGCAGAATGGAGCTACATCATTTTATGGATGAAATGAGACGAACTTGGTTTAGTCCAAAAATTGTATGTCCTACTTATAATGCTTACAGTTTTCAGACACAGCCAATGAAAGTGAAGAGGAGGATGAATGGGTTGAGAAGGTTATTGGCACTTCTGAACCTGTTGCTGACAAGACATGTGAAACAGTGACTGCAGGGAAAAGTCACTTAGGACCAAGTCAGGTTGAAAATGGGCCAAAAAGTGTTGTTTCACAGGAGAAACAAGGTATTGTTTGTTTTGTACTCCATACCTGAGGGTCTTTATAACATGACACCAAGGGTATACTCCTAAAAGAACTAGTGCCACATTAGTCCAGCATGAGTTCTTGGTCGAAATCGTGGGTAAAAATCACAATCCTTAACCATTTTCATTACTGAACAATAGTTTTACACTTTCAAATGAAGGATTTAATGAGAGACAGCTCCTGAAACGTGCATCTCTTAAGAGACTGGCACTGCTACTTCACATATTGGAAAGAAAAGTTATAAGTACTTATGTTTCACATCAGTGTCTTTAAAACATGTGCCCGGGCAGTACTGTGACGTTCAGGCACAAGGATATTACTCTGGATTCCTGTGGTATGACTGCAGTCCTGGATGACATGTAATAATATTTTCATATTCCATATTATTATGTTTGACCACATTAAATGTTGTGTATGTATAACCAGTGCCTTTTTTGTGTGTGAAAAGGAAAGCAACCTATACTTTTGTGCATGTGTCCTACTTTTAACTTTGGAATCAGCTGCTCATTTTTCATGAAATATGGTATAAGCGTTATGCCATTGTATTAAAATGTGATTGTTTTCCAAGAATGCATTTAATATATTTTTGTAATGGATTTTCTATTTTACAGAAGATGCTGCTGTCAAAAAGGCGCTGTATCTATGTCTATGTATGACATTTAATTTCAAAGAGTACTCAGTTTTATTGTCCAGATCATTTTGTTATGAAAACTGCAGGTAATTCCTGTAATTAGCAACTTTCCTATGCCATGGTACCATTAGCAGTGGAAAGTACGTAGTCTGTTAGCATAAGCTAAGAAATTTAGATGATCACAGGGGGAAGAACTTACATATATGGGTTATATTTAGTGAAGTTATGGTTGTAATTCTCTCATAAACATGGTGTTCAAAGTAGACTACAGTTTATGCAGAGGATGTGCAATAAGAAAAGGCCCTGAATTAGTAATCATAAATCAGGCAGTAATTTAACAGTGAAAATGAAATGTGGCAACATTGTGTACTTTGCAGCACTTATCTGCTGCCAGTCTACCCTGTTTGTGCCATTTCCATTACAAATGTACGTGGGGAAATCATAAAATTTTAATTATCATCCACAAGAAACAGACACAGGTGCAAGAAATTGTATGTGAGTTAGTCCTTCTCTACATATGCCCCCTGCAAGGCCACACATTTTCCCCAACGATACATTAGCTGTTGGATACCTTGATCATAGAAGGTCTTATTTTGACTGTTCAGGAAGTTCTCCACTGCAGAAATGATGTCATCATCGTCCTGGAATTGCTTGCCTAGTAAGAGGTGTTGGTAAGGAAGTTGAAAGCAGTAAACTCTTAAGTATGGAAATATGTTTACAGAGAAAAGTCAAGTTTCGTCAGTGAGAGATGAATGGATGACTCTACCAGGCTTGTTTCCATGTTTGTCACGTGAACAGCTAAGAGAGCAGTCACGTCACTCGCATAAGACAGAGGAACAGCAGCAGAAAGACAGATGCATACTGGATAGAGTGAGTTAATTTTACACAGTGCACCTATAATAATTAAGGATCTGGGATAGCATAATTGCTATAGCAACTGGCTACGGGCTGGAAGACTGAAGGGTAGGAGTTTTAGTCCTGGTGGGGTCAAGAATTCTCTCTTCTCCACGTCATCTAGACCAGCTCTGGGGCCCACCCAGCCTCCTATCCAGTGGGTACTGGGGACTTTTCCCCTGGGGCGGTGGCTAAAGTAGCATGAATGGGAAGCTGGCCACTCACCTTCAACTAGTGCTGAGGTCAAGTAAGTGTGGCTCTATACATCCACTCCCCCATATACCTTCATGGCGTAGTGGTTAACCCGTTGCCGTGGTTCGTCGTGTATGTTTCGTCAGGGATTTAAATCGTCTGGGGGGGTTCGACGTGTATGTTTCGTCCAGCTGCACACGTATGTTATAACGCCCATAATAATTGATGGTTTTGCTGTAGATTGTTAGATTTTTCACTGGCCTGTTGTCAGGAGGACTGTATTTAATGACACACGCGTTTAAGAGCGCTAAGTCGTCGTTACATATGCCTGTCTTGCAGCAACGTTCCTGTGG